CTACTTTTCCCTTGGCTTTAAATAGTATTAATTGTTTTGGAATATTCGATCAATATTGTATCATCGCGAACTCTTCAACTTGATATCCAATATGATCGGAATATTACACGATTTGTCGATCCCCAATGGGTCTTGAGAAGTTACGCTTCTCCGAAATGCCCTTTTCGAGGCAACATGCTGAGGAACAATAGCGAACTGCACTCACGCTTTGGCGAAGGCAATCGCCATTGTAACTACGAATCAAATGCAAAGACACTTTACCTCCCTTGTTCCGAGTAACGACGATTCAAGAAGCCCGCCGGGTTTGACGATAGAAAATAGAACCTTCTTTCAGTTCCCTTTCCTGGCCTCTTCAACTTTCTCGGTACTTCAAAGAATCGGTCGTCATAGAAGTTAAAGATGATAAGTATATATTTTTACAACTCAACGACAAAGTTCATTTTTCAAGCGTATTACGTAACATTTATTATGTGAACTATATATAGACAAGATATATAAAGACGTAGTCTAAAGGCTAATATTAGGCTTCCGGGAGACAGAATTTTTACGGGTCATTTTTTTGCTGTATTTGAATGTTATATTATTGTTTATTGTTAAAATGATTGTTCGTTATTTGCAATAAAAAAATTTGTTAAAAAACATGTATAAAAATATAATTATGTCGTACTTTGTGAGGTATGAGGTAGTAAAAAGTGATTATGCAAAGTAATATCAATGTATTTCGAAATAAATGCACAATGAAAGAAGTAATTTTAGCCAAACAAATATAGTGTTTTCGGTATTCTATGAATATCATTGGTGAATACCGGTAAATCTAATAATTTTCAGCCACCGCGTTAGGGGTCACGTCTGTTCCCTCATTCCGGAGTTGCAGCTATTAAAGTATCGAGATAGATAATAATTTTTTTTTTAAATTTGAATACTGTTAAGCCCATAAATACAATAAAATTAGGTTGAATCGCCAGAAACCTAAAATTAGGCTTTCGGTCCCGGAAAAGTTAAACTAAACGATATTGTCCCTTGCGGGCAGATGGGATAACTTTAAAAAGAGAGGAAGAAAAAGGGAAACTAAGAATCAAGATGACAGAAAATCGCTAGTATCATTGAGAAAAATTCCACAAGTTTGTTAGACAGATTAAAGTTTAATTTAATACTCTTTATATAATGATTTTTTAAAAGTTCAACCATCAAATTAGAAAGTGTTTAATTATACTTTACATTTTAATATTTTAAATATCTTTAAATTTACAATCTTTTATTTATCATCATTTTATTGATTAGTTAAGGTAAAATACTTTCTTAATGAATCATATGAATCGCTACTTCAAATTATTTTCAAAATCTGCGCTTATCAATTATCGATCCTTATATAGATTAAATTTTTTTATAGGCTAGAAAGTCGTAACCATGCAAGAGAATAACTCAAAAAAGTTTTAAAGTCACCGATGGTTTTTAAAGAGCGATGATTTACATCATCAAATATCATAGAAATTCTCTCTCGATTTTTTTTCGCAAAAAGCGTTTACAAACGCATGCTTACATGCTAAATGCGCTTAAAACTTACTAACGATATTGCGTGTAAACGTATACAGCACGCGTATTTACCTAGCTACTCCGCATTTTCCATTAATGAATCTCCTCACGTGCTCCGTGTACAACTTAAAATGTTATGACTTCATAGCGACGACTATTTTGCTAAAACGTATCCACCATTTTAAACGTGCAGCTTTAGAGTACTGTGTGTGCTGGGAATATTTTTACTTATTTTACTTTATATCGCATGTACTATAATCATTTAATTAAAAAGATGTTAATAATTAAATTCAAAAAGGCATTACTTTATTCCATTATCGATAGTCTACATGCCACATAAATGTATGTATGCGCAAAAAACTGAGACACAGATTTTCAAACATTTCATTAAAAGAATAATTGTGACAGTATATTTTGACCCTTAAGAGTTTAAACAAAATGTAAATTTTGATTTATTTAACAATTCCACTGTAGTTTAATACAGTATAAAAATATAAGTATAGTATAACAATTCAATTTTAATATAATTTAAAAATTTCAATATATTTTTAGAAAAACTTTGATTCACTGCTCATACAAAGAGTTTCTCGCGTAATCTTCTTTGTAAACTTTTTATTATCAGATAGTAAACTTTATCATAAAAGACAGAAAAAGAGTAAGATATTATAATAAAAGAATTATATATTAAGTAGCTATATCGCGTTGTTACTCAACGAGGAAATGTGCAGTTAGCTTTGTTTCCAGGCAACGATATCAGCGATATTGCATCCGTCCATCGGAACTGTAGCACTACAACATGCCTCTACCGAATCGCAATCCGATACTCTGAAAGCGAGTAGTGCCCTTTTGCTACCATAGTGCCCTTTCGCTATTATGATTTCTTCGACAAATATAATAGACATATCATCCAGCCTTCTCACAAAAAAATTAATTTATTACGTAACTCTATTATTCGTATATAGAAGTAAAAATAATCTATAACTTATAAAATTCATTTGATTACAAAATGATTAATTAAATACATATTTTCCTGATTTTTTCTCTTTCTCTCTCCGTGTGTGCATTATTTATTCTGTTTTATTATGTTCTACATATTCAATTTAACAAATCGAGATGTGAAACTGAAATCATATGATTTCTCATGGGCATCACAATGTTGGCCGGTAATCTTCGGATCTCTATCTGCTTAACAGTGCAATTATCGTGTTTGAATGCGCAATGCATCGTGCGGATTTTGCGTGTATACGTGTGTGGGCGGCTTTAATCGACCAATTTCGCGAGTGCAAGCAGCGTCGGCTGGCGTCGGTCAAAGTTAGGAGCCGGTTAACCCACCTGACCGGGGGGCACTGCTGTTGCACTAGTGTGGTCGGTGTCTTTGACTCGCCTCCGAAACCGTAACCTGTCGGCGCTACCCCTCTAACCGTGCAAACACCATCCTTTTCCGTTAAGATTAGCGGTTGTGGAAGCGAATGCCCAGATTCTCCCCTCCCCCTCCTCTCTCTCTCTCTGTCTCTCTCTCTCTCTCTCTGATTCGCGCATCGCGTGTGTCCCGACCAGAATGGCATGTGTCGGTGTACACGCTACACACACGGACACGAATGTATGAGAACAGGGACACGCGCTTGAAGCAACAACCTGTGTGCGGCGTGAATATTAGATTTCACACTTCGTGAAGATGTCGCGCTATAATAGCACGTAATAGCGCGTGCACGAAGAGGAGATAAAGCCTCACAGAACTGGTTTGGCAATTTTCACCGCGATGCGAGAATTCCGAGATTACACATGCCCGATCGAAATGTAATTGTGGATTGAAGACGCTTTTGTGTGTGGAAGATAGCGTGTGTCGGATGTAGCCGTTTTAAGCGATCTGGGAATAATTCGATGATCTATACTTTATATTGTGTTTAAAGAAAGATATAGTAAAGGTATTTTAGGTCAAATCTATAATTTGTAAGGACTATTTTTAAGGATCTCATAGTTATAATTCACAAATCATAATTTTACATCAGATTCGGAATGTCTGATAAAAAAAATCTAATCGAATTATTTATATCAAAACGTAATTCTTATATCAGTTAATTTTAAATTAATCCCAATCGATAGTTTTCTCGTCTTCTCTAATCGCAGTTTTATCTTAATATATATTAATTAAATTGCAGATTTTATAGATAGACGCGGTTAAGTCAAGTTTTTCGAGTGAGCTGAAATCCTATTATCCTCGCGCTCGACGATCAACATGAGGCGCTGCTGGAATAAGGCGCAGTATCGAAGATACGCGAAGTTCAGCTAATTTTAGTTTAAAGCTACCATAAGCTCGACGACTGCACGTAGAGCCCTGTGTAATCTCGCTGTTAATCGGTTGCGTGTATTAAATCCAAACGCCGACTGGATTAAAGTTCTAACACGTACGAAGGACTGCCATGACTTGGTGCAATTCGCCGACGAAATAATGTCCGGCAAGTACGAAACAGCAGAAGCTAAGAGGTGGCACGCCAATCTTAGAAGAGCGTGACATATTGATTGTATGAGTAAATATTTTCGCTTCTTTTATGCAAAAAAAAAGTAAAAAAAAATAAAAGTTGAGGATAATTCTGTTTAAATAAAGAGATATTTCAAAATCTATAATAAAGATTATTTAGACAAGAAGTAAATATGTTTTCTTATAACGAACAAACAATATTCCATGTTTTTATTCTCTATTAGAGTATTTGAAATCTTCATAACGTATATGATTATAAATATAAATATCTAAGTTGTAATAAACACTTTCATCTCCATCGAAGGTAATTTAAGTTAAATGTATATCTTTTGTTTGAATTTGTGAGTGCTATATTCTCTTATCCTTTTCAATCTTTATTTTAGATTATTCTATATATCGTTTATGCTTCTAAATTTTGTTTGTGGCGTTATCTTTTGAATAAAGTGAACAGTAAATGAAATCGATACAAACGCTATCGGTACCTCTTTTTCACAAGTAATCCGATAACTGCGTACTGACTGCCGATATTACTATTGACCGCTGATATCTTAGAGATTCGCAATTTAAATATATAATATATACGAAAATTATATGTATGTATAATAGTCACAATTGCTATTACCACATAAATCTCAATTTCAATTTATTCATAATATAAAAATTCATGTTTTAGATAGCATTTTCATCTTTACCGACGAATGCTATGTACGCGAAACAATGTAAAGAACAGATTTCCATAAATTCCATAAAATAACCGAAAGATAATCGAATAATTTATTCATTAAAAAAATCAATATTTCATATTGTTATATATTGTTGTTTTTCCCATTATAAAGCAATTTATTGTATTTTATTCTAATATTCTAGAGTAATTGTATTATTATATTTTTGCTAACGTTGTCATCAAACACGTTGTAAATTCAATTTTACAAATTAACGATATTGTTATTAACAAAATGGTTCGGGGCATAAAAGATGAAAAAATAAATTGCGTAATTATATCGACGATGAAGTTTATTTCTTTATTTCTTGCTTCGAATTATTAGGGTGACATTTTTCTATTTGTCCATAGAATTGCTATATGCAAGTGCATAATAGCAATCCTGGGAGGTAATAACGAAGAGAGAGAAGAGAAGAGGAAAGAAAAAAATGTAAATTGCATATTTTCTTCTGCGGCTTCATCCGCGAATCATTTTATCACTCTCATAATTACATTGTTACATAGTAACTTGGAATTATTTACTTTGTAGTAGATAATGCAATAATCGGTGATTATGTATGTACATTTGTTACGATCCTATTATAATAAAATGTAATTATTTCAACAAATTTTTCTTTCGGATTATTTATTATTCATAAATCTTCCAAAGTAATTGGTTTATCTATGTTAATATAGAATGTATTAATTCTTTATTTCGATGATTTGTATTCTCTCAGACCAAAGAAATTTTCTTCATTATTAATATAATGCACATGCACAATGAAATAATCGTTATGAGATCGTAACGTGTACGTGTCCATATAATTTTCAGAAAGATTCTTGCTTTCTTTTTGCAATAAAATTATTAAATATTGGAAATGTGTTTTAATCTTAATAAAAAGACTCGTGCAATTATATGAATTATTCGGATATCAATATTGACGGCAGTCAAATATATTTTAAATGTTATCGAATAAAATAATTACATTTTAGACTGCAATTTTCTTTCTTTTATTTGACATCAACCACTTGCGACAATCTCTTCAAAACGTTATCAGGTATTCGCTTTTCCGCCAGATTCGCCGTCCCGGGAAGTCGTTGAGGTACTTGAGATCTCTCAGCCAGATTATTTCTCGTCGGCAGATTATTCGTCCCCGTGGCGAATAAGCGAGATATTGGAAGTGCCTTTTCGTTTAGATTCTCAGTACCGGGAAACTGCCCGTCGACCACTTCCGCATTATTGTCCAGATGAGAATCATGACTCACGTGGGGTGCATGAGGAGCCGCCAATGCCCCGTAAACGCCAAGGAATAGTACCAGAAACTGCATCAAAAGCATTTGAATGCAATGCGGTTGCATCGGGGTGTGTGTTATACAAGATCTTCATTTGCGCTTAGAAAACAATTGCATAATTATGCTTTCTGTTATTAATCCAAATATTCCGAATAAATATTCCAGAAGCGTCACTCTTGATTTTAACTGCAGTAGGTTCGCGTTGAACACAGAATCCTATTCCTAATATAAATATTAAAATTTCAATGCTTTTTGAATTATAATTGATCTAAAATAAAATGCTTTCAGCGATTTGAATATCTGGAACGAAATTAATTAACAAAAAATCATATTGTTCATTTAAACTAAAAGAGACTTTAATTTAAAAAGCCTAAATTCCGTAATTAATTATCAAGATATTTAATATTTAATGTTGAAAATTTGTAGCTAAAATTCTTTGCAGTAATTTAAAGAATACTTATTAGCGTTATTATTAAATCGATTATAAATTTAATTATGTGAATTAATATTATTCCTTATATATATATATATATATATATATATATATATATATTTATATATATATAATATATATATACCTATATATATAATGTCTAGATTTCAAATTGTTTAGACTGGCCCTCAGTCAACGTCCCGCAAAAAAGCGCGAAGTTCCATCGCCAAAGGATCACGCACGCAAGATTTATTTTTTTAACGTGGCATACACGGGATTTACGCGAAATTAATTCGAAGTCGCCGGAGGATCTGAGCGGAGATAAATCGCTTGGAGATGCCTCGCTTGGCGACGCAGCCGCGAATTTATGACTTTTTATTGCGTCGCGCAAATACACAGAACTGCACGATTTCGCGCGCGGTGCGGTGGAAACCGCCTGGAGATTGAATTCATTGGGGAATCTCGTGAAAATTTAAAGCGGACGACGACGATTTGACGCGACACTCGCAGGTAGGTAGATAGAAATACGTGTGAGATCCTCACACCCTCGCTATTTTACGTAGACGCGATCTCGGGCTCCACTTCACTTGACCCAAATCGCGACCAGGTTGAAAGATAACCCACTTTCTCGCGATTGACTAGAAATTCTTCGAACGAGACAAAGTTATTTTTGTACTGGATAAAAAAGATTTTTCCCCGTTACTGATTGCGAAGACAGATTGCCGAAATAAGGTGTTCGCGTCTCTAAAATCAGTTGTTAATTTGAACACCCAAGGAATCATTTCAAACATAAATTTTTCCACTGTCTATAATTATTTCTTCCAATAAATCGTCACCAGCTAAGCGTCTTTATCGTGACGCAATCTTTCCCAAGAATATTCCAACGTTATTAATTACTAACGATTTATTCGTACATCGTCAATTACCTCCAAGAGTAACTTCGCCTTTGCCTTCAGTAACAGATTCATAATTAAATTTCGATGGCTAAAATTAGGCGAACGGCAAACCCCTGCCCACACAATCACGCTAACCGTTCGCGTAATTTTAGCCACAAAATTCAATTGCAAATCTTCTTGCTAATAGTGAAGCAAAATTATCCGAAAACCAAAATAGTTTGACATTATTTTCCAAGAATATTTCGTTTGGCGATAAAAAGAAACTTCAATAAAAATGTAAATGCTTATATAACTTATCATTTTACGCGCCTATATTTATATTCAGGTTGACTTTTCATTTTTTATTAAAAATCAAGAAGTTATTTTTACTTTCTTCAAATGTCATTTATTCAAGAATTTAAGAGAAAGAGTGAGTCAGTAAAAAAGACATCTTTATATAACGAAAACTTTGAAATACGACAGTAACGAATCTTTCATGACATAATCAGCTGAGCTATCTCAAAAAAGCAATTTAACATTAAAAGTTCTAGCACTATAATCAGAATCAGAGTCAATCGCTTGGTCAATGTAAACTTTTACACTTGTCATACACTTTTTTACATTTCAAGTTTCAAGTCTCGCGTGATTCCCATCGCATGAATCCCTTCACTTCGTCAAATCCCACGTTTCGATCCGAGGAAAGTTATACAATCGGGACTTTGACGAGGAAATTTTTCACTTTTTCCGGATGGAATTACGTGTTCAACCAGCCGACACGGAAAACCGACGTCACTCGCGGAAAACATGTGCACGCGTTCGTTTTTTTTCTTTATATTTCTTATCGCGGAATTTCTGATTTCCTCTTACCTCGATCATGTTCACTCGATGCGCAGCGCCCAACTATTCTCGAGAATGGCACGATGACACTTTTATATAGGTATATACGTGTATATGCGTGTGAGCACCGGTCTTACCGCATGGTGGAATCGACGTTTTATTTTCGTGAGTCAAACGATCGTGATCCCCGAGGCAAGATATATATTTCTTTTAGATTTATTTTTTTTCTTTTCTTTCTGCTAAAGTTATTACTCTCAACAGCCGTCAACCTCTGCTTGCATCCGCAATGGCGTAGACATGAACTCTTTCAGAATTTTTTTATTAAAATGAAAAATGATCATGAAGAATATATTGGCGAGTTTCGATCGTAGAAAATTCAAAAAAAACTTTTTTCTTTTTATGTAACGTCATATATATCTAATATTTTTCTAGTGTAATATCGGGACTATAATAGATCTTTTAACATGTGTTAATGCTTCGAAAGATCTTTCGTATATTTTTAGATAGATTAATCATGATCCAATATCTAAAAACTGGTTTCATCGCTATCATGATTAAACAATTGCAGTCGCTATTATTACTTGCAGAGCTGTACACGATCTCTCACATGAGTTGTTTGTAAAATCTGTAATTCCATGTTTTCGCGCGAGTAAAAATAAGCCAAAGCGCAGCGACGATATGGAAAACCTCGAATTTTCGGACAGAAATCGATGTTCCTCGGACATTGTTAACGTCTCGGCAATGCGATATACCACCTGTCTTGGAAAATACATTGTTCTGACACGTGCAATAGAGCACGTGCACGGATTATATTAGGTCCATGGATTGCACTAGCAACGTAATAATAGTATTCTGAATATATAACCTTTCATTATAGTTACTATTTGATTGCCATGTACGCGGAACAGCTTGATTAACGTGATTATTAATATAGACGAGTCTGATTCTCTTAGAGCTCCAAAGAGCTTTCAGTAAATTTAGATCTCGACGCTGCAAACAGATAAAAATAATAGGCAAAGTGTTCCTTCTCTCTTTCATAAATTTATTTATTTATGACCTAAAATATTTAATAACTTAACTATACTTTATAAGATCTGATCAAGCTTCAATTATTTCCAAAATTTTATTTCCGGAAATTATCTAATAATGATAATCAAATAACGTTAAATTGACGTATTCGATATTACTATCCTGCATAAAAATATATAAAATAAAAAAAAAAGAAAATATTTTTTTTCGTTCTTTACGTAGAGCGGAATAAAAAATCGAACACGTCATTGACGTCGTTTGAAGTTCAGACTTATTAATTGCGATCATTAATAATCACTCTTACTTATCATTCTTTTTGTCAACCACGATGAAAAGTCAATTTCACAAAATCGTTAAATTGCATCACTGATTCATACCAATTGGCGCCGACAGTTTTGCATATATAAATATTATCTTAAAAGATGAAAGTGAGTTTTGTAGTGTCTTAGGGCGAGAGAGAGAAAGAGAGAGAGAGAGAGAGAGAGAGAGAGAGAGAGAGAGAGAGAGAGAGAGATTTATTGAAGATTGCCCAATGAATTGTATCCAACGGTCAATTTATACATCACATATTGTAACTCGCAAAAGTATATATAAAATCTGACGACTCAAAATTACTGCATTGTTTTATTCGTATAATGCTGTGCTGTTTATTTCCAAGTTTTATGATATCAGATTTCTTAAAAAATGTTCAATGAGTGGAGATCTTTTTTAAAAATATCTTACTTTATAAAATCTATTTTTACAGTGACACAATTCATAGTCTCGATCTTCGATTATACGACTGAATCATGTTACCTAGATTTCAAATATCTGCTTACTTTTATTTTGCGAAAAAAGTATAACTGAATATTGTTCATAAACTCGAAATACATCTATCAATGCCTCTACCCTACAACATTAATAATTAAAGGAAAAAGGAAAATGTCTCATCCGATCAGCGTAAAGACCGATTTTATCAACCTTCAAAAAGAAACACCGCTATGTAGCCAAGTAAATTATCTCTGACCTGTAAAAGGTGTCAGCTTCTTCTACTTCAATTTTCCTATCGATAGTTAAAATGGATAAAGGTACGACGCAGTGAATGACGCTACAGCCGACGCGACAAGGGAATACACTGTGACATCACTAGCAACCAAGTGATCTCATCGAGGGCCGTGTGACGTCACAAAGCCCTATTCCACTCGATCGACCAGATGTTACGGGTACTAGCTATGTGTATAGTCCGTGCGCCGGCACCTCGACACTATGACGTCATTGAATTCTTTTCCGTCCCGCTAAGAGAGCACGCTCGATAATCCGGTTTTTCTGACGTTCTCCAAGCCTACGCGTGCCTATCTCGATATAATGCCACGTCGTTATAATGGCAACGTAAGAACTTACGTTGCAAAGAAATTGCGGCGTAAATGCTTCGTGACGAAAAGGATCGTGACGCAAATAAAATATATCGAATCTTCAATTTGCTCGTTTCACGTTTTATAATCAATAGGCCTCGTGTGAGACGATGCATTGAAGCTAAGAGAACTTGTCTCATGAGAAATTATATAAATATTATCACGGAATTACATTAGTATTATCACTTATTAAAGAATTATTAAAGATAAAATAGTTTTTAATGTATTAAATAATCGTACATATGTAACGTACGTATGCCATGTATAATAACGGTATATATATTAAAGGTTTAAAGAATGTATGTTATCAAAGTTACAAAGAGTACCTCTGTGTATTCTAGACTCTAGAGTCATCATTCTTGTTATTTACATGTCGAACATAATAAATACCAACGTACAGGGGAAGAATGTCGATCTCTGGCAAGGGTCTAAGAAGGTTAATCCGTATGAACACAATTCAAATAGTTCTGAAGTGTCTTTCGTCTCGAACAGATGTGATATAATACTTAGTATAAGCGTTCACAATTCTCATAGAAATTAATATCTTTCCACGTTATTATTTAAATACTGGATTTATTTCGTAATATTTTATTTATTTGTAATATTTTAATAAAAAACTGAAATAGCTAAAGCAGTGCGTTTGCCGTTCAAGATAGATTGCAATAAATAAATCTTTGAACAAAGAAAAAAGAGAATCTTTGTGATCTAAGTAAGTAAATTATACTATATGCAATATTTTCACTTTTCTTAATATCATGAAATTGCAAAAATAGAAATTTTAATATACGATTTCGTTTTAAATTCTCCACCAATAATCACAAAGACATATCGCAAAATGTGCGTTGCGTCGCTTCTTGATTGTAATATGATATATGTTATATTGATATTTAAAATATTTCTTAACAGGTGATAACATTGCAAGTGATATGAGTCGTAGCACGAAAAGTCGTAGTGATAAAAACGAAGTGCGAAGATCCGCATTATCGTTCGTTGCAAACGGTTCGCTCGACGTTGACCATATATTACAATCCGATCCTTTGATAGATGTTAAAATGTTTGAAAAGAGTGAAGCTGCTTGTATTCAAAAAGTGCTGAATGATTTCGACAATAAGATTACACAAGAAAAGGCTCTTAAAGCAAGTAAGGACAAGATTTTATTAAAATTTATTATTTAAAAAAAAATTATTTAAATTATTTAAATATTTGCAACTAAATCTGCAATAACTACAAATTTTTAATAATATAATCGAGAGATATATAAAATAAATAAAAAAATATTAAAATAAAATAAATCTAATATAACGATTATACAGGTCTTACCGCGAAGAAAAGTCCGAGAAAACGTCTGAGTTCTACGAAAAAATCCCCAGTAAAGTCTCCAATAAAGGACCCGATGGATTTGCCTGGGACTTCATCAAATACGAATAGCAACGTTATTGAAGCAAAAACTGTAGTAAATAAAAGGAAAAGAAATTCAACAAAGCCTCGACAGACCTCTAAGACGGTTGAGCAAACAATTTCACTAGAACTTCCATGTGATATTGATAATGTAAAAGAAAAGATCCAAACATTTTCAGAAGCTAGTGGCGAGAAGAATGTCGATTCAATCAAACATATAACAAATAAAGAAATTTTGCAGAACATAACAAATATCAGTGAGAAAAATCTGCAAACGAGCACTCCTAAAAAAGAAAAATCTAAAACACCAAAAAAGACGGCAAAAAAGGAAGAATCAATAAGGGAGAATCAAAAGGCAGAAATTAAAAAACCGAAAATTAAAGATTCTGAAAATAAGTCAAAGACAGATGTTGGGCGCAAAGAAAAACAGAAAATATCGAAGCAGAATACAAAAGACGAGCAAGGCGAAAGTAAATAAAGCACCAATTATACATTTAAATTTTTACATCCTGGATGTACTCTTAATAATAAAAATATAATATTTTTCAGATGCAGGCGCAAGCATGCTTAGTGGAAAGAAAAAAACAAATGTGGAATTAAAAAATAATTTGGAGTCTAATAAAATAAATAAAGATACATCGAAAAATAAAGTAAAAGATAAGAAAGAGCGAAGTAAGTATACAAAAGATGTTTAAAATATATATTCTTTCTCGTACTCAATTATTTTGATAATAATTAAATTTTTTTAGGTTGCGCGACACTTCTTAGCGAAATGGGAAAAAAATGTGAAGTGGAAGAAAATAATAATATAGAAAAGAATACTAAATCTAAGAAATGCGGTAAGACACTGACTGAAAAACCAATATATAAATTTTTACAACGAGACAAATCTTATACTTCCTATTTTAATAACGGTATATATTTTCCAGACAAAAACATGCCTAATCAATTGAAAGAGAAGAAGCTAAAAGAAGAAAATTCCGAAAACAAACTGCAAAAAAACGCCCAATCAAATAAATCATCGCAAATAAATAACGTAAAGAATATAAAATGTCAATGCAAAAGTAAGAGGAATATCCAAAATATTTCTATGCATTCAATTTGTTGACAAAGGCTATTTCCAGTTAATTTACATCAATTAATAATTATTTTCCAGAAAGCTGCGCAAAACGTGCTGACAATAAATGTTCGAGAGAAAAAGAGCATGACAAAAAGATGAGACAACATAAAAAGAATAAAAAGACTGCGAGAGCTATGCAGGATCTTAGCCGACGTATAACAATTGTCAAGGAGAAAATAAAACGCATTAAAAACGATTTAGGTAAGACGTCTTTGCAATTCTCGATTTTATATCTTTATACGCAAAAGCTAAGTTCCAACTCTTTATTGACCAACTATTAAATACGCGTATTAATTTCAACGAATCCTTTAGGTTTTCAAGAATGCATCAAATTTTGTCAGAATGTTAAATATATTACGAAATAATTATAATTCCCGCCATCACTTAAGATAATAACCATTTCTCATGTTGGACAGTTTGATAGATTCTACCGAGAATTTGCACGCGAGAGTCACGCAACCGTGTCTCAAATACGATATTTCCGGAACTGATCCCTCTGTTTTTTTCTTTCTTTCAGAGAGCAGCGAGTCATCAGATTCTGGCAGCAGTTACACTGACGAGTCATCGTACTCGTCACAATCATCTTATTCAACGTATTCATCTTCATCATATTCATCTGATTCCTATTCGTCCTACTCTTCGTGCACCTGTAGCTGTTCAAATTGCCATTGCGATGATTACACCGACACCGAATACACCCTTGATTCATGCAATTCTTCGAGTTTTAGTGGAAGTAGCAATAACCAAACCGAGACTGCAGCGAAACAAAAGACTTGCAGTAAAATAAATTAAAAATAAAATTAAAGCAAATTAAAGAAAATTATTAAAGAATATTTGATCGTATATTTTGTAAACTCAAACAGTTTGAAATAAAACCGGAAATTTCAATGAAATCAAGCACAAAAAGCTCTATTTTTATTATTATTATTGTAGATAAAAAATTGATTTAGTTTTGTATGTTTCATTCGTTATTTAATTATTTCTTTATTATTTATTATGTACATTATAATTGCGTATCATCACGGTTGATATTAATTTTATTTCAAACTGTTTAAGTTTAAAAAATATATTCTCGGAAGATTTTTAATGATACGATCAAATAGCAAAATAATATTTAAAATAACATTTAGATATTTCAACACGATTAATTAAGAGGAATTATATGGTATTTAAAATAAATTATATGTAATGTAATCATAGTATTATAAGAATTGTATTAAATAATTATATTTTTATAAGAATTGTATTAAAGAATTATATTTTTTATAAGAATTGTATTAAAGAATTGTGTATAAATTAATAAAGGAGAATAAAGAAAGAAATCTTGAAACACACATTAGAATATTTGAAAATTTTTAGCAAATAATGTACAATTTTCGCGAATATAAATATTTCGTTAAATATTTCACGAAGTTGTTTTAAAACCGTTTGCTGATTGTCAAATTATATCACCGAATGCTGGTGGGATAAGGTCCCATCCAATATTTTGCGCTTTTTATTTAATGACGCGGATTATAAACGTAGGATATCATACCATCTATATCTCTCTGTTTTTCACACAGTTTTCCTTTTTAAATATGCGATCTAGTACACTCCCAATTTTGTTAGCGGCGATTCAATATGTTATTGATTCTATTAACAACCTTCAAATTTCACTCTTTATTTCTAATTACTTATAAGTTACTTAAAAGCTTTTAATTTTTCGACGTTTTTTTGCTTAAAAAAACTCGCTTCCGAATTTATTAGATACATCTTATCATATGAAGCATATAAACATGAATTTGCGGCTATCCCTGTATAAACGATTCAAACGACCCTCGAGTGGAAGCGACGAACGCACGTACAGCGCATTCGATCGGGTGCATTAAAATAATGCGTACATCGCGACTCTTAAATTAGTCCATCGTCGTCTCTCCACCGTGTTGCTACTATTCGCAGCGTTTCGGCACCTGCTTCATGCGCTGCCGTTTTTTTCTTAACGTTCTAACTGAAAAGTGAAAACAGAGAAGACTAAAAATAGGCAGTTTGACGCACGTTACCGGTGTTAAGGTAAGTAAGCAACATGGACCGTATGTTTGCTCTTTTCTCTCGGACGATAATCTCCTGGCGCCAATACGCCGTTTGTCGTTCCCGCAAATGCGAAACAGCTACTGCGCAATTAAGGAAGCATATAAAATATTGCGCGAGGTTCACCTGAACTACATAGAAGAGGAAGAAAGGGCTCCATCTCTTAAAAGTGGACCATTAAGATTAGTAATTGGATAACTTTAAAACAACTATACGTAGACGATATAGAAGTGAAATAAACCAGAATTATAAAATAAATTATAAAAATAAATAAAATATTTTCCCATTTTCTATATCTTCGCGGTAGAGAATAAAAATATTATATTTTTTTATTATTTATTATTTCTCCCTGTCGCGATATTTAATCGTGACGTTCTGTTTGCTCGAAAAGCGGATAGACTATATGGAAATTATGAAATAGCTCAATAAGGAATAGCCTATATAACTGGTTATTAAAGTTAAGATTAAACTTGCCAATAAATAAATGAAAAAGATAAAGAATCTAAGAAAAGCAACGAGGGGAAAATCAAAGCTTGCTAGAAAAAGAAGATAGCTCGACAAAGTACAGCTTCGCAGAATCATATCTTATTTTTCAATAGTGATGCTATGTATCATGTATGTATTTTTGTTTATTATAGCTGCAATGATTAATGCGCGTGGAAATAACGGCAAAAACAAAGGCGTCCTTAGAGATTCATTAAACCAAGCCAAAGTTAAATCAACTCTTCGAGTTTGCGAAAACTGCGAAATCTCTTAGAATCTAGAAAGTTGCAAAGTAAATAGTACGAAGAAACTAATCTGAAGATCGCCAAAATCCAACGTCAGAAACCATAATATACAATACCTGACAAAGCGTGTGGAAGTAGAAAACTGTAATTAAGCTCTTTATTAAATATATTGAACTATTTATCACACACACACACACACACACACACACACACCACACAATTTATACATTATAAATTATAATATTCCACCAAAATTTCATTTAAGACAAATCAAATTCATCTAGAAGATATTAGAGCGCGAGAAAATACACAATGAAATATCGAGGAATAAAGAAGAGCTCGAGACCCGAATGTACCATAGTTTGCGATGAAGATCTCGCGGTTCTCCAATATAGATGTTTCGTCAACCGCGTTCCGCGAAACCGTCGACTCGATAATTATATACCGACTCTCAATTCGGTCGCGGTGGCAGCTCCGCGAGAGTTTTCGCTCTTGTCCTTCTTCTTGCACGTCCCTTTTTACTCTTAAATTGCGTCATTATTGTGTATGTGTGTACGATTGAAGCGCTTTCGTCTCGCGGATCCACACGTGGGCGAGATCAATGTGTATCTGTGTTTGCCCTTGCGTAGGTGGACCACGTTCACAGACGTATATCGAAGGTAAATCCTCTTCGACACAAGTCCGCCCTTATATCCTTTTCTCCTCCTCTTTCCTTTCAGCTGTTTTTTTCTATTTTTTTTTGTCCTCCGTTCTGATTCGCTTCTCAGCCTGATTCGGATTCACTCTGCAGTCTATTCGGAGAATTCCTCGAGATACAACCACTCTAATGGTGGTGTCTCGTGTACTTTTGTTTACTCAACAGCGACAAAAAATATATCTTTACCAGGAATGGCTTAAGTTGGATTTAGTGAGATATATAGAGTTGGGCGTGAATTACGTTTTCCTGCAAACTTCCAAGTATCGTTAGATGACAAAGTTCATATAGCGAAAGAATGATCGTGGAAGAAGTCGTCCGCGCGAATGATAAATGTTTTTAAAGTTCAATGGCTGCTTGGCAAGCGCGCGAGACTAGTGTTGCTTAGTCAGTTGCTTCGTAAAATAGACAATAGCCGCATCCGCGAAAATCTAATTATAGGTAAAGACGGACACTACTGCGAACCAAGATTCGCTACACAATTTCGTCATTTATTTGGAAGTTAATTTTTTATTGCTAATAAAAGTCAATGTATACGATTGCCTCGGGATTTCCACATAAATCAACCACGTTGTTCTACTTGCTGTTCCATGGGACTTGTAGATACATATGCCCACGTAAATGTACAAGTTCGATGACGCCAATATATTTTCGTGCAACCTAGATTCTTTCTGTTTCTCGAAATTTGCCGACGTCAAGATCTTTCGCGTAAGTTGCGAATTAGAAAATACGAATCGATGATTCGTCATGATTACACAATAACTTGCACTTGTACTTTACTTCCATTGTACTAATCATCGACCGTTTTTCCTATTTATATCTTTAATATCCGGCTGTACACAGCCGAACATCTCTATGGACTCTCCGTATACTTGACATACATTTTAAAAATACTTTCAGGTGTAAATTCGGATTCGCGACAAACGCGTAATCTGCATTATTTAACAACGTCCATGTTGTTAAATTTAAGAAAATGATATCGGGTAAAACATATTTGCAAGAGACAAGTGTGAAATTTGTAATAAATCCGGGACACATTTTAATCTTTTACATTTAGATCATTTTCGATCATAGATAGCAATAACTAAAACTTTCTAAAATTACAACGCGATAGATGCATCCAAAAATATATAATTACGATAAATTGTAGAAGTCGATTGTAGTCACGTGACGTTTATTCCTTTCTCATTTAGCTTTATATTCATGGAAGCTGGAATATTAGACTGGCGGCGGAAAGTCAATAAATTCACTTTAAGTCGATCCGTGTCAATAATCCATTCGTGCAGGTACAAAAATATACTTTGTGGATTCGACTGGTACCAAAATGGCTTTATGTTTGCAAAATTCACAGTCAGGCAGACAATAAAGAGCGACTTAAAAGAATAAAAGACGGGTATTAATGTCTTTCGTTCCTACAAATCAGTAAGAAAAAAATGTTATAGGTCAATCTCAATTTTTATATAAGGTTCCACTTATTATCTTACACATCGTTCTCGCTCGCAAGGAATTCTAATTATTCGTGAATAGTTATCGAGTCCTTGTTCCTAAATCTCGAGAATGCGCTATTATTGAAGACGTAAGCAATATATTCGGTAACGAAAAATTAATGGACGCGACTTAACGCAAACAAAATAAAAAAGAAATCTAATTTGCATATACGATTAATGTATTTATTCTTCTGTAATTATCATAAACCAACAATTTGATCGACAAGATAGAATTTTTTTTATATGAACATGAATATGGCAATTCGTGACTAAGGATAGCGCATAATCGATCAATGGCGGCACGTGGAAGAATTCTGCGGTATATCCCGCCCCAGGTAACTTCCTCTATTTATCTAAGTGTCCGTCTCACCGTAACGACGCGACTCGTCGATTCGCATGATGCGCTCGTTAAAAAAAACCATCGCACGACGCGGCGTTACGTTCGCCCTACAACCGGCGTTGTCGTGTGTCTCGCACCCTTTTACAATCCACGTCTGCGCACCTCCCGACCGGGTCTATAAAAGCGACGCGGAGCGTCACGACGCTCCAGACGTTTGAGATACGCGCACCACGGGAAATGTGACCGAGCGTCGTCGTATCGATACCTCGTCACCGGAGTCTCTATTTCTGTGCCGTGTCTCTCAAGTGACACCTGCTCCGAAAGCGAAATTGTCAGAGGGACACAGTTGACATAATTCCTAACGCGCGCTGATTGGATTCGGCGTCTGTGATACTTGTGAGCAGCCGACATACGCGTGTCAGAACATCATCGCGATATGAGGATGTATAAACGAGGACACGCTAATCGGAATTTAGTCGAACAAGAGTGATTTATACGCGTATTTATCGATATATATATATAATACATTGAACACAGTGTACCCAGAGTGAAGTGACGTTTCTGTCGATTGTCAAACGAATTTGCGTGGTACGTATCTTTGTCGTGTTATCACTTCGCTATCATTGTAGCTGCGTAACTTTAATTTATAACTGTGCAGGGCGCTTTCTATAGTGCCGACTTTAAATCTCAGCAGTTACTAAATTTTATTGAGCTTTACGGCGGAATTTTATATAACCCGATTAAAAGAATTCATTAATATTGAAATCCGCTTTTTACATGATGGGATTTTGGAAGACTCTCGTATCTGCTGAGAATTAAAGATATATTTTAAAAATTATGTTTTCAAAATTATACTGTGCTTAATGACGACCATGAATTTTTGTAAAATGTGTTGCAATAAAAAAATAACAAATACAAAAAACTATAATAAATTGTCAATTAAAAAAACCATAAGAAATTAACAGTACAATCAATTGTAGCATACCATAGTATACGTTTACAAACGTTTAATTCGTTAAGGACTTAACAGAGATAATTTCGGTGACACTTGTAGCGCGTATAAGTTGTCGATTCTATATATGTCAGCTAAATTGGTTCATTAAATGCACGGTATGCACGCACGCATGCACGGACGCACGCACAAGTATAACGCCGTGAACTCGCGTGTATTAAAATAGAGTGCTCAGTAAACATAAATGCTAAATATACTTGTGCCTCTGAGGCTTGTCAGAATTAACCGGTCCGAACCGGTGGTAATGTGAAAAAATAACCGTGACATAAAACAATGAACAGAAAATAGAAAACGAGAGACACCGTTATCTATTTGCCAAAATTAGAGTCAGTATGACATATAAAGTGTGAATTTAAATGAGCAACGTTTTTATAAAGATCGCACAGCAAACACACACACACACACACCTACGAGACAAGGACATGTAATTCGCGTATCACATTAATAATTAAAGTGAGAGAGCTCTCGATATGAAGCTTCGTCCCGTATCCGATATGACGTATTACGTTATTAAAATATACGTGATCGTCACCTACGAAATCTGTCGCGTCATACTGCATTCGTTTCGTCACATGATGACATTTACGTTGTGTCTCAGATCTCCAGAAATTTATTGAACGACTCGAAAAAGATAAATGTTCGTCGTTAAACGAACGATGTTTGTTTTCGTGTAGTTTATATGTCTCTTAATGATCTGTGGGTTGCAGCTTGATATATATATATAAAACAAACAATCTTTCTAAACTGTTAAGAATATAGCTTAACTCTTAACTTGTTAAACCCTTAAATCTTTTTTCAAAACGCTTAAAAGTCAAGAATATATATTCTTTAATTATTAAATTGTTCGTATCAGACATAAGTAATATCAGAAGTAAATAACAATATATTGTAAAATAAACTTAAATAATATGAATATATAGATATTAAATTTCATAAACATTAATTTTTGAGTTTTAAAAAATTTCGACTGATTATGCGTGTTGAGTGGCGTAAGGCAATAATTTAACATATTTGCCATCTCTGCTTATCTGGTTTTCAAGTTTTCGTTTAAATTGTATTTTAAAACGTAAATTAAAATGTAAATTAAATATGTAACATTTCGAATTATCCTCAACTGACCCAAAATAAAGACAACTGTTATTCTGCCATATACATAATTATCTTTTATGATTTGCGCTCAATCTTACATCATACTTAATTGATTCTGCCTTATTTTTCATTAAAATTGTGATAATAAATTAAACGACAAATCTAATGGCGAATACGCGACGCTCTGTCATGAAAATAAAATTTGCGTGCGAGCTTGGCGGAAAGTTTTGGGATTCGGCACCGACCAGATTCACGCGCCGTCGACCAAAGCGTGAACGGTCCTCGCTATTGATCTAGCGAGGGTCTAAATGTCCTGGGTTCACCCGGCCACCCTCCGGTCCGGCCCGACTCTCAGGCTTTCCGCTGCACCGTGAGAGCGCAGCTCTCTTCACCGAAAGAAAACAGCAGAAGAAAAAGCATCACGGTGATGCGCGCGAAGAAGATGAGGATCGCTATCTCCAGTGGCGACGTTCCAAAAACTCCTCTTGCCGCGCGCTCCACTAACCGAACTATCGATTCTCGAGACGGGCGATCGTAAAATCGAGCAGGAAACATAACACACGATTCCATTTACACGAGAGAGCAGATGCAGCGCGGCGTTTGATGACGCACGTGCGAAATCACGCAGTGAGCGTGACTGGAAGAGAAACGGCGTCTAAAACCGCAAGGAATATCGTTAAATAGATCAATGTCTGCTTAAAGTTGCCGTTATGCAACAACGACAGATGGGTTCTGATAAATTCTAGTTCGTGCACTTTACCGGGGGAAATACGCGATTTCTGTTGTACACGTGCCATATCTATATGAAGTTCTCAGTACTTGCTTTCATCTGTAGATTCCTTGAATCAATTTATAATTGAATCTTCCATGTCAAAGTTTAAATCGTGCGTCAGCTTTTTTCATAAATGTCAGACAGAATTATACTCAATTCCAAATAGTAACTCCCAAATTAAAATAACAATTATATAAAGTAAATTTTACTTCACATTTTAAAGAAAATGAAGCTTTATCTAGTTATGTTATTTTCTCTGTCAAAAGAAATAATCAGATTTTTTGACGTCTTGTAAACTTTCTTTGAAAAACAAAATTTTTTAAACAAAGATTTGTATTTTCATTTGAAGAATGCTTACGTCATCGACAGAATCTTTCTTCAGACGGTTTCTACTTCGCACAACTCACAATATCGCACGTGTTCGCGATATATCATATTCTAGAACCGCGATTGATCTACGCGTTGCTATTTATGAACTAGAACGCGCGTTGCATGATCGGAGAAGAAGTGTGAATATTATCTTTTTGCGGAAGGAAGCGTGGGAACGCTCCTGAATATGGTCGCACGTTTGTCGCATTGACGATTGTAGGCGTAGTAGGTATATTCCTGAGCTTCATTGTTCCCACGGGACGAAGATAATATTCCTTTGACAGAGAGAGTTATCCAAGTATGAAATCAATGTTGATGTCCTTCAATGTGGACAGATGAAATTCTAATTTCCGGTCTCGACGAGGAGGCGGTCTATACAAAACGAAAATGGCAAGGACGAATACGCCAGTCTCTATACAGTCTATACGAAATAAAAATAACAAGAGCTAAAAAATCAGTCTTTGTTATAATAACAATAAAAATAAATTATAATGAAATAATAATATAAAACTAAGATGCTTTTAAAAATAAAATTAATTAATTTAAATTTAAACAAAATGATTTTCTTTAAATATCTAATCGTACTATTGTATTCAATTTTTCATAGTTCTAAACATCGTTCGCTACTATGTAGACCTATATCTAGAGATGACAATCAAACTAGCCGCACAGAACCAGCCGCATTCAGGGGCGAATAGCCTCTGCGGGCCCCGGCGCAAAAAATTTTGCATTTTGCATTTAAATTAATAAAAATTCTACAGATCAGTTATATAAAGAATAAACATAGTCGCGAAATTTATTTAAAGTGCATCTGAGCATGCTGAGTAAAGAAATTTTCGATTTTATTATAAAAATGCGGAAAAATCGCAAATTTCTTCACTCAGCATGCTCAGATGCACTTGAAATAATTTTTTTCATATTTTTTATTCTTCGTATAACAATCTCCAACTCATACGGAAGTGGCACAGGACCACCAATAATTATTAAATTTAATATATGTCACAAATCTCTATAACGCGTAACAAAAACTGCGAAAAAATTGACTATAATAATTTTTAGTGGTCCTGTGCCACTTTTAAATGAGCTGGGGATTGTTATACGAAGAATAAACAATATGAAAAAATTTATTTAAAGTGCATCTGAGCATGCTGAGTAAAGAAATTTTTTCATATTGTTTATTCTTCGTATAACAATCTCCAACTCATACGGAAGTGGCACAGGACCACCGAAAATTATTAAATTCAATATATGTCACAAATCTCTATAACGCGTAACGAAAACTGCGAAAAAATTGACTATAATAATTTTTACTGGTCTTGTGCCACTTCCATATGAGCTGGAGATTGTTATACGAAGAATAAACAATATGAAAAAAATTATTTCAAGTTTATCTGAGCATGCAGAGTGAAGAAATTTGCGATTTTATTATAAAAAATGCGGGAAAATCGCAAATTTCTTCACTCAGCATGCTCAGATGCACTTGAAATAAATTTTTTCGTATTGTTTATTTTTCGTATAACAATCCCCAGCTCATTTAAAAGTGGCACAGGACCGCTAAAAATTGTTATATTCAATATATGTCACGAATCTCTATAACGCGTAATGAAAACTGCGGGAAAATCGCAAAGTTCTTCACTCAACATGCTTAGATGCACTTGAAATAAATTTTGTGATAATGTTTATTTTTTATATAACTGATCTGTAGAGTTTTTATTAATTTAAATGCAAAATGCAAAATTTTTTGCGCCGGGGCCCCGCAGAGGCCCTATTCGCCCCTGAATGCGGCTGGTTTCTGTGCGGCTAGTTTGACTGTCATTATCTAGAGCCCAAAGTAAAAAGATCTATTTCTAGAATAACCTTGAATTCTTTTTTTGTTCCAGATGAAGCTACACGAGAAGAAAGAATCAGGTATCCACAGAGTGCAAGAAGTGCCTCTCGAGGAACTGGACTTATCGAAGGAGTACAATGTGGAGAAGACTCTAGGCGAGGGTAGTTTCGCGAAAGTTCTATTGGCGACGCACAGGGCTACCCAGACGAGGGTGGTCCTGAAAGCGGTTCATCAAGAACTTACGTCGGAAAAGGATTTCTTCCGAGAATTCCACTACTCGTACCACCTGAGCCCGCACCCCAATATACTCTGCTCGTACGCCGTCGCCTTTAAAGCAGAGAAATGTTTCGTCTTCGCGCAGGAGTACGCGTCTTACGGCGATCTCGCCGGCAACGTGAAAGCCGGCGGGCTCAGCGAGGACGCCTGTAAGAGAATCGCTGGTCAGCTTGCCTCGGCCCTCGACTTCATCCACTCGAAACAACTGGCCCATCGCGACATCAAGCTGGAGAACGTGCTGGTGTTCGCGCAGGATATGAGCAAGGTGAAGCTATGCGATTTCGGCTGCACGAGGCGTGAGGGCACCCTCGTGAATAAAATCCGTTGCACCTGGGTGCCGTTCCAACCGCCCGAGATTCACGAGATCATCAAGAACGAGAGGTACGCTTGCAAGAGGAGCTCGGACTGCTGGCAATTCGGCATTGTCCTCTTCGTTTGCCTGACCGGCAACCCGCCGTGGCAGAGCGCCGACCTGATCCAAGACCCAGACTACTCGGCCTTTCAACGATGGCTGAAGCGACGTACCACCAAAATCCCACCGACTTTCCGTCGCTTCACTCCTAGGCTACTCCGATACTTTAGGCGAGCATTTGAACACAAGCCGGAGAAGAGGCCGCACGTGACCGAGATCAACAAGTATCTAAAGGACTCGTGGTGCGTCAGTAAGATCAGCCACAGCGCGACGTCGACGTCGGTCGATGTCAGCGAGAGCCTCGCCAGGCGAGGCGACAGTCTGCTCTATCTCGACACCATCTTGGACGATCGGCACAACGTGGACGAGAACAAGAACAAGCTGAGGAAGTTGCTCAACAGTTACGGCCTGGAGACTACGGTGGACCAGAAAGTCGTCACCAAGAGGATATGGGAGTGGGTGATGCAGTGCGATTCTAACGTGGACACAGAGGCGGGTCTGATCGGTAGCTTCAGCACGGAGGACATGTGAGAGATAGTGAGAACTTGCAGCGAGCCGTGCCTTCGGGTCACCCAGGAAGAACCAACTAAGTTCCGAATGGGCAGCTTCTACATGCCGACCTCGTTCAGATGTGCCAAATAATCAGCTGGAGCTACCTAGCCGAGAGACACTTCCCGGAAAATTCGTTCGAAGAGTGTTCCGCAAGAAAAGCGAGACACGACTCTGTTCCAGCGACATTTCCAGAGTGTCGAAATCTAATCACAGGCGGACCAATTATTGATGAACTTCCTTAATTAGTAAGAATAAAGATCGCAAAAAAATTCGAAAGACAATGATATTTACATTGATCGGTGTTGAAAACGATAAGTCACAATTAATATTCCCAAAAAGTTTAATATACAAAGGATGTCATCAAGATGTTAAAAAGACATTTTAGTCTCTCAAGCATCTTCATATTTAGAATTTTATGTTGCTTTGGAAATTTCGAAATAAAAGTGAAATATATCTCTTGATCATAAGATGCTCTAGCAGTTAAGTGTAAATGTGATATACAATTATTTAAATAGAAAGAAAGAGAGAGAGAGAGAGAGAGAGAGAGAGAGAGAGAGAGAGAGAGAAAGAGAATTTGTGAAAGAATGGTGATAAGCTGATAATTAGCTTGATGTACTAACTATAGAGACAATAATGCAGGTGCATATGATTTTTGCGTTAATCAGTTGTCCTGGTAAACTGATGGTCTTAGTGATGCCTTATGCCTCGCGATTAGGCGTGAGGTTAGACAGCCATTTAAAAATATTTTGTATATTCAACTTTGAAATCTGTTTCTGTTTATATTACTTAGTGATATATAATCTCTAATCTTTGTTAGGCAAGAAATAAGAAAGCAAGAAGACTGTATAATCCAGGGATTCCCAGACCAGAGATCGTAACTCCAAACGTAGCATAATTTGTAAAAACATTTTCGGAAACAATCCACTCTTATTCCATAATAACCAGCAGATGGGGACAATCGGATTTTAATTGCTACGTAAACTGAGAGAAATCGCTTTATCTTTTAAAATGTTTATCACAATATAAAAGTTCAATAATAATTCGCGTCGAGAGAAAAAAATGCCGAAAACGTTTAAGAATCTGGCATTGCCGAAAAATGCGAATAGAGATCACAACGTGAGATGGGCGATTACCGGAAGTATCGTTATCAACAAGATCTAAATCACACAATTGTAGATACATTTACATAAGCAGGTATATATTCGCATTCGTGCTAGACATGTATATACATATACGTGTGTACGTATATACGTTATAGGCAAATATAGTACACATATATTCTTGTAGCAGTTTATGGTGTAGCGCATAGAGGTTCCGTTTGTAAAATTAGTTACGCCATTTCGTAACGGTGATATAGGTATAGCGTAATATTGCATGCACGTTGCGATTTCAACAGTTGTAATGGTCTCTCGCTAACGATCTCGCATTAAAACGCCCAGGGATAACAACATGTGAAACGGGCGTTTCGCAACGAATCAGTTGCCAAATTCATCGCTTGCTTATCGCGATTGGATATCCACACGATTTAATTCGCGTTATAATCAGAAATTTATCATTACAATTTATACATAAGCGACATCGTTTTCTATATTCTCATTTGTGATCGTACGGTAAACCGATTGAACTGATTTGCATTTTACGAGTATCCGAATTTGCGCGCACGCAAAATTATAAGACTGAACTGGAAAAGCCCTTAATGCATTGAAAAATTGAAAAAAAAAAGACGTTGGTTTATTTTTATCAGATTTCGCAGACATAAAATCAGCAGTAAATAAATCGCAACGTGTGAGACTCTCCCTAGGATCCCACAAGTGGATCATTATCCGAATGAATTGTACACTCATAAGGATCGGCGTAAGAACGCGTTAGCGATCGGAATCCATGCGAATGCGTGTTTCTATATATTTGTACGTTGAATGTGGGAGTATACACGCGCGAGCATTATAACGTCGCTACTCGACAATATTCGGACAATCGTTATTATCTCCCTGCTATTCCTCCGTATTGTCCGAATTGACTAAGTGATAAGATAAATGAGGAACTTTCACAAGGAAGCTAGCGCGCGTAGCCTCCATTAATACGAAGCAATGTTTTGTATATATCGAAATAAATCTTAAAATTGTATAAAATTGATATACAATAAGTGTTTTAATTTTTCACACACAATCCTTATTTCAATATATATTTCAATATATATGTGTATATTTTACCTATTCCTAAATTAAAATAATTAGTTTATATTACCAGTTATATTATCATTTGTTATTATTAATAATATTTTCGTCAAATAGACTTTATTTCTGTATTAATTTATCTATCAGATAAGATTGTGTTTGTTAAACCATGATTTTGTTGTTGAAGCTTGACACCAAAAGCAACTATCTACCTTGCCTGATGTACGTAAATCTATTATCTAGATTACGTCTTGTGTAACTTTCAGCGAGAGTACAAATTGAATTGTGCATCAGCGGATTAATTAGGGCGCGTCGTTCGGATTTTTCAACCTACGCGGTCTACATCCGTCTGTACTGTAGAATGGGGTGGCTAGCCATGGCTCGGGTGTCGCTATGGCGACGAACCCTGGATACCCGGGCCAGCTGAAAGCAACGAACCACCCTGCCTCTCGCGTTCCCCCGGAATCACGGTATCGAAGCAAATAGATGCGCGATATAACAGGCGCGATTGTTACATACATCGTATTTTTTGTTATACCACGGCTTGCAGCCGTCGTAATAATTGACAGAAAGACCGACAGATGTACAGTTTTCTAGATCCTGGAAATTACCAACGTTGTACAACATCGAGCTGATCGAGCAGAATATCGCGTTATTCGATATTTGCATCTGTGTCGAGAAACATAAGCATGCGCGCCATTAGCAAGGTCATTAGTCAACTTTAATTATGTAGAACTCCTAACCAGCTCGACCTTGATGTCGGGTAAGAGCACACGAACGCGGAACTTCCACTTTTTTCTTTGGAAAGCGCACGCGATTAGCTGAGGCAAAGGTGAACCTCACGAGAGGCAGTGTAATTATTCCGCGAGTCTCGAGAACACTTGAAACTTCCTCCCTTTAGAGAACAGAAGCACGAAACTTCAAGGCTTTGTTCTTGAACAATATAATTACATACCGATAATATTTAATGAGATCTTCTTGTATACACATTTCATAGTTTTCTCTAATTAATAATAAATTATAAAACATTTTAATCCTCTTTCTACTGCAAAATTACTTATATTTCTCGGAATTTTAAAAACAGATGCATAAAAGTAAGTTATATGTATAATATAACTATTACTATACATAAATATATATATTGTATAATTATATATATTTATAAAACAAGTAATAAAACTGTACTTGTGTAATTCTGAGAACACAAAAGAGTAAAAATATTAAGCGATTAAAAATTGAAACTTTTTTAAAACAATTCGATCTCAACAGATTAATTAAAATCTATAAAACATTTTTGAAATATTTCCTTTATAATTATATTCTTCTCATTTATTTAATATATTATAATTTTAAATTCCTGAATGTATTATATATACATTCTTAAATTTTTACATTCTCTCCTTCTTCATGATTTAACACTGATTTAACTACGGTTCTACCTCGATGTTATTAAGATAAGAATATCATATTATATCTTTAATTGATGTTACATCCAACTTGTCATCAAACTTTTGCACGTTTTGTAGTTCTTATGTTTAATGAGACGTTTGATGAGAACGCTTAGACGTCATTTGCTCGATTCTAAGAGTGCCAAGATAAATTCATCGTCCACGATGCGTCCTGATATTCGTTGACACGCGAGTACGTAATATTCCAAAGAATATTTTAAGATCTTTACTTATTTAATCTTTACTAGGCGACCCACAACTGTGACATATCCTCGGCCCACTTTCCCGTTCATTACACATATTATGTATTCCAATACATATTCCAATTCAAATATATGTAAGATTCAAATGAACATATAAATTTGATATCAAAAAATGAGGAAAAAACATAGAACAAACTTTTTTTAATTCATGTAATAACTTGCTCTCAAGAAAATCAATCTCGTTGATAACAAACTTAATATCCTTTGTTTCTTCTTCCTTTTCCTGTTTTTCTCTTTCCTCTTTCATTGTTTTTCTTTCCTTTTCTTTTTGTTTCTTGTCCCCATTTTCTTTCTTTCTCCTTTTCTACCTTCTTTCTTTCTTTTTCTTTTTTCTCTTTTCTCTAGTTTCTTATTTTGCTGGCAACGCCGAGTGTCCGAGGCCATTAGTTACGCCACTAGCGTGGATGCAGCAACCGAATGTCTCGACATGCACCCGCGTTCCATCATCTTCCTTCCGATGCGCGCGTATTTTAGATCGGCGTGCCGCTATTTCCATCCACGTGGCGAATATTCTCGACGGCTTGTTTTGACAAGCACCGAACCGACTGGATACTTGACAGGACGTTATCTCCGCAAAGCGGACATCAAGCACATATATACAGCGTGGAGGTATGTTTAAACGCATCGTAATACAACAGTACACGATGAGAGATTTAATCGATTGGTTCAACGCAAAAATCAACAGCAAATGCACATGTAACATTTACGAGTATCGGAAAAACAATATTTCAACAATATAATATTTTTTTATTACGCTTGTTATCAATACCTAAATTGATAAAAAATTATCAATTAAAAAATCGATATTAAAACTAGGATAACAAAACAAAATAATACTCTTATTTATTTCTATTATTTCAATAAAAAATCATGCACGATGTTACATTAGAATTTAGAAAAGGAGAATCTTCTTTTATTTTTATAGAAACTTTATACAATTCTACGAAAAAAAGTGCATTGCAGGTTCAAAATTCTGCTAACGTGAAATATAAAATAATTAATCCTCTTTAACCATAAAAAAATAATTTTAAATATTAAAAATTAAAAAGTTTTAAGAAAAAATTGAGAAAAGATATTCAACAAGACAAAGAGTAGATTTACATTTGTCATAAAAAACGGAAAATGTAGTAGGTACTATAATTATTTGAAATAATTCCATCCTACTCCATAGAGTAAAAATGTTGTGAAGTAATCAAAGAGAAGAAGAAGAAAATGCCGAAGTGTTATCTTCACTTTCTTATCCTTAGTAAATCGCAGACGGATTTCGGAAACGAAATGAATTAAATCATATGTCAGAATACATATGTAGAGGAAAATGTTACCGAAGAGCTGTAAAATTATGCGTTATAAGAACGTAAAAAAAGTTATATATCATTTTACACGTCAGAATCGCGGAAGTTAAATTTATGATCTCATATATAGAAGCTGAGATATAAATGTACGCATCGGGTGATAATGCAAGTTGATGTTAGGCACCGTCTCACGCAGACGTGCTGTCTCGACCAAGTCGCGTAATGCGGTTACTTGACGAAAAATAAAGCCGGGCAAGCCGCCACCGGGGACGAGTATCGTCATCGATCCTCCGGTCCAACGCCCCGATGTCTATTTTCATACCGTCCAACCTATTTATATATCGTATGGACAACGTGCCACATGTATCGGTGCACATCGTGATCGATGCACCGGTTGCAGCGACACTCTAACATCTTAATCATCTTCGATATAACAAATTCTAGAGAAATCTCAATTTTCAAGAGTTGTTTGCATATAATTACAGAAATTTTTTAAAGAAGACAGGAATATTTTAATATAAATCTATTTTGGAATATACACAAAGTCTTAACGTTTTCCAAAAATAGTTGAATAAAAAGATTAAAATTTATTCTACGGAATTACGAATTCCTAATGTATCGAGAGTTATAAATTAAAGAATTTCACAAGTGATATCTAATTTTGAAAGTTCAACCGTCTGAGCTCACTTTTTTTTAATTCTCTTTAATCCACCTTACTTCTCCAAGGTTTATATCAACCCCCGCTTTTGGACGCACTTATCTCTCACAGGATTATTGGGACAACTAACCGATCATGTAGGCGTATGGATTTACGGTGGAACCACCCGGAGCATTTCGATGGTAGGGTTCTATGCTCGCTTTACGACGTTGCATGATTGCCCTCTGACGTCAAAGAAAACGCTCCCCGGCGCGTTTACGTACACACGTACATAAGGGGGGCCTCGCGAGAGAGAGACAGGATTAAAGGTCGTTCGCCCCGTCACCGGGTTCAAGCGCCTTTCGCGGGGCGGATGCAACCTATAAAAATGCGGCGATGATAAGGACGAGGACGAGGATGCGCGCGATTGCGCGTTGGGACATGCGGGACATATCTCGCTATTAGACAGACACATATACACACATCGCAAATAAACCTCCTGTCTCGGATGCAAGAAGAAACTGGTTTTCTTAATTCGTGCCGTTAACCGGTCCTAATAAAAACGTGCGACCCTTAATCTCGAAACGATCTTAAATTCGCGAGTACCAAGATAATCCGAATAAGTATGTATTCTGGGGGATATTTTCGGTGTATCGGCGACACAGACGCACATATGTACGCGATTTCCGATTAGTTAAGAATATCAGCGCTATTTTCGTTTGTCGATAACTTTAAGTTAAAGTTGCATTTGAAAAACATAAATCGATAGTATTTCAAGCTAGAATTCATGCTTCCGTTTGTGACATTTCTCATTTATATTCTTGTCCTATTCTGCGATAGTATTTTTGTATCATACAGCGTTAATGAACCACATAAAAATACCTATGCATTTTGGATAGACCAATTCACAAATTAGATTATTCCAGAAATAAATATCCAGATCAATTTTCAATCTCTTTTTTCAAATAATTTGGAATTAATTGATTCTTAAGAGAAGCATCAATATTTTCAAATAATTAATGATTTAAAATAAGAAATAAACAATTAGCTATTAGAGATAAGATAGACGATAAGACAATATTTTTTATTTAAATTCAAATAAACTAATATAATTTTTATTTAAAAGTTAGAGTTACAATAATATATGCACAATTTTAAAAATTGAAAGAAAAGATAAATGACAGTTTCTTTCAACATTTTATTAAGGAAAAATCGTTTCCTGATTGGCCAGAGAGCATAGTTAAAATTATTCGATAATACTAAAATATATACCTTATATATAATTTTAAACAATGTATATTTTTATAATAACTGTCCAAAATAAAATTCCATTCTCTTGACAAGAGAAGGTTTTATATAATATGTCCATATTATGTCATATTATATCCGTATTGTACCAATTATAAAAATGTTACGCAGCAATCGAATAATATATGTCGTGTTTCTAAGGTATTAACTTTTCTTCAGATATAAATTAAGGATCTTCAAAAGAAAATTACCATAAATGCACTCATGATGTACCACAATAACGCACGTAATGAAACGAGAAATATTTCACCGCGATTGCCTGCAAGTTTTCTTCTTCTCTTGTTTGTATCTTTCTCCAAAATAATAAGCAGCTGTTCTTTTCAGAATAAGTATAGTCGACGGGGCGCAGATCTATTTCGGGCCAGGGGTTAATATTTAATGACGGCAGGGTTGCCGTCAGTGTGTCTAAAAATAGACAATCAATACGGCTAACTACACGTTACAGAATTAAGCTCGCAGGCGCACATGTATGCGTGCGATACTTCAGAATTATCAACCCTCATCAAAGGATTAATATCGCATGAACACGCACAAGTAAAGTTTCAACGTGACTAAGAATTACACGTAATATTAAACACTTGCGTGTCATGGAATGTGATAATAATATTATCTAACGGCAGAAGATTAAGGATATATTAAAATACAGTAATGGAGGAAAAAATTCCAGCTTTTTTGCGCTTAATTAATAACTAAAAATTAATTTTTAATTTTATTATTTTATATTGCTGTATAACAAGTGAGTTTTGGCGCAATAAGCTAGATTTGCTTAAATAATCTGTAAATAAATTATATATCTTCTTAATGAAGAGCAAAAATTTCTTTTTCGGTTCTTTCATAGAAATATTTAATACAATCAAAAATTCAATCTGTATATGCAGAATATATCGTATAATTATCATACACTGAAAAAAAAAATTTGTCAATCCCAAGAAATATTTAGTCCAATACGTTCAACTAAACATTTTAGTTAGTTAATTAAACATTAGTTAAATTAATTAATTCTTGATTAAAGAAACGAAATAAATTGTTAAAACAACTAATATTTAGTTAACTAACTAAAATGTTTAGTTGAACGTATCGGACTAAATATTTCTTGGGATTAACAATTTTTTTTCTCAGTGTATATTCAGGACATAATGCATACACGTATATAACTGCGTAACATCGTTCTGTCTAAGCATCATTGTAAATGTGCTCATGCGAAAAATTATAGCTTTTCCCGAGCAACAAGTCACGGCTTTTATGACACCTGGCAGGTGTTCAGAACACTTTGATACATTCGCATTTACACTTACCTTTGTCAAACTCTTTCTGGCGACAATCTGGCTCGACTCGACTTCTAAAATCGTCCGCTCGAAGGAAAGGAGCCGAATAAAAACCAGACGCCGATAAACAATCGTATAAATCGTAGTCGCAAAAGTACTTTCGAGGTTTCGAGGCTCTATTCGCGAAAACAATTCCGCACTCTCAAAGCGTAGGAACTAATATTAGATTAATGAAACTTTATAAAGATTGTGAAACGAAGCGTCAACAACGAGCATGCGACCTTAATGGTCCTCACGATTACGCTAGTTTAATTTTCCAATCTGAGAAAATTCCGCAAGTAAATTGCATTCGCCGTGTAACAACTAGTTTCTACGATTTGTACGATTTCGTTTATGATATAGTTACGAAATCAGTTTGAAACCATTCTTCATTCGTATCACGTAATATATGTATGTAGGCAACATAAATGTCTCAAAATAACTCACTACGTCTACAAAATTATTATTAATTAAAAATATTAGGCGCTTTGTTTTTAAAATTTCAATACAATTAATAAATTTTGGGCTCTTCCTTTGTATTAAAAAACTTTAAAGTCGTTTCAAATTTCTAACGAATAAGTGTAGTAGAAAATACCAATTTCACATATTCTTGTTGTATGAAAATTAGTTATAACTATCTTTTATTTTAATTTAAATCTTAATATTTGTCGATAGTAGTTCCAAGGTACTATCCAGAATTTAAGAAAAAAGTAAGATTTTCTCATAAAAAAAAAATTATTCATCTATGAAGACTTAAAAGATTTCCATTTAAGAAAGAAAAAAATCATAAAAACTGTTTCATTTTTCTTTCACCAATTATAATGTTAAAAATAATAAAGTTAGATTACTTGAGGAAGTGTTCAAAGTTTCAGGTATAGCTTATTAAGAAATTTAACAACTATTCTTATCATTATAAATATAAACTTGAAATGAAAAAGATTTAATAATTCTAGTAAGAAAATTTTTAAAGTTTCTGCAAGTAAAATTTATTTCAGAAATCCAACTTTCTTAAGGATTCTGAATAAAATGTGATACAATTTTTATATCGAAAGTATTAAAATTCAGATCAATTTAATTAAAATAAAAAAGATATGCCTAATTTTTATACAACTAAAACATGAAGTGAACATGAAGTAAATATTTCGTAACTTTAGATACTTATTTATTTATATTTTTAATTTTATTGTGTCAAAACCATTTTGAAACGTGTCGAGAATCATAATAGAACTTTTTAAGAAAGAATCAGAATTTTCTCAATTACAACGAAATATTGAAAATAGAGTATTAGCTTTACAAAGATAGCTATTTTTTTTCAAAATGTTATGCCTATATATTAATGTACAAAGCAAGTTTTAACTTTTCAATTATACATTATAAAAGAAAGTTAAATTTTTTAGAAATATATTCTAAATAAAATACACATTTTGAATAGTCATTTATAACTTTCAAATATATCGCATTAATAATTCCTCGATGATATCATGCAAATATAGATAACTCCTAAAAGAAGAAAAATTTCCTACCTTGACGTTGTCTTGGGCTGTGAAAGGCCGATTCCACCAGTGGTCCCTCGTCATCTCCGAAGACCTCTAAGGCATCGCAAATGCAGCACATACAAGCGTGATTGGAATGTTTCCATACAATTGACTGGGAGTTTCCGCACTGCACTTCATCTCGCGCGCGATTAAGATGGAATTGTTCTGTCCCGCAATTACATCACGCACAATTCACACACTCATGTACTCCGTCGTATCTGTTCCTTCTCATCTATCAACCTACTTTTTATATGTATATCTGTATGTCGGTTTGAGAGAGGCATTGCGGCATTGATAAATTTTTCATTAAACGTAATAAGCGCGCACTTAGAACTTTGATACTTGTATAAAAGTCGCGGACTCAAGTTGTCTCTAGGGTTTCAAAGAAAATTAAAATTCGTTACTAACTAAGCACATCAGCATCAATGATAATCATTTTCTCTTAACACCACTGACATTATACGTGTTCTTATTTTTATACCATGTTTATTTTCAATAAGTTAAAGAGAAGCAATTCCCCCAGCAACGTATAAAAGTTCGTAATAAAACACGATAAAACAAATTCTAATAATCGTAGCGATCGTAGCATTAACTACAGTGATTTCTCTTGTAATCTATTATTATGTCTATTATATATGTTATTATAACTTACTGCTATGTCTTCTGTTATAAGAAGTAAAAAGCAATATTTAAAAAATTTTTATTTAATTTATGCACATAATTTCATAAATGTAATACTTGCATTAACTATGGCAAACTAACTGTTTTAGTCTGCAAAACAACTACATCGTAGCTAATAAAAAAATCGCGATCACTGTCAATTATCCCATATTCTTTTTTATTAATTAATTCAAGCACACGATTCTACAACCATAATAATAATATTCCGCTTCTAATTTAGGAGCAGCGATCGCGGCTAATCAGAAAATGATCGCAATCACTATAATTACTATATATATATACGTAAATACTACCAATTATTATACTGATATACATAAAGACAACTATATCCATAAATACTGTCGATTACTACAAATATAAACACTACATATTTTGATTAACTTTTGATTAACACATAATTCTACAAATATAACGACCACAAAATAATTATATCGATTTCGCGATTCTAATCTAGAGAACAATTACAAGCAGTGATCGCGACTATAAAAAAAATATCGTGATCACTGCCTAATTACTATTCCATATTCCGATTAATTCATGCGGTTCTACAAATGCAACGATCACAAAAATAATTACATTGAGTTCATGATTTTAATTTACAAAATAATTATATAAAGCTGTGATCGCGGCTAATAAAGAAAAAGTATTGCTCAATTATTACCTTAAATTCAATTAATTTATGCACAATCTTACAAACAACTACAACATTAGCTATATCTATTTCATTTCTAATTTATAAATATAAGTATATAAGCAATAATTTATTTATATGCACGAACACAATCTATGGATTATAGAGATTGTTTGAAGAATGCTACGATCGCACAATTCGCACAAAGCAAAAGTTATGTACTGAGGTTATGTACGAAACTGTCTACATCAGTGTCTATCGCGGGTTTGCATATTATCGACATATAAATCTCGACATGAGGCACAGTAGAATTTCTTACTTACCGACGCAGTAAAAGAACAGATATGCTACGATCGCACGGAATTTACTTGACGAAACTGTCGCCGAATTCACTCTCTACCGATATACAGTATACAATTTTTCGTATTTCTCGTCGTTTATCCGTGACAGATATCCCATTAGACGCCGTAAGAACGCGCGATATGTTAGAACGATCTTAAGTTCGAGATATATTATGTCCGATAAGAAGTACGCCAGTCGCGCTTCGAGTCTCTCACACGAACGTAAGGGTCACTTTCGCGTAGCTATGGCACCGGAATCTGTACTCACCGGACTTTGAACCGGAGTCCGTCTCACGGCAAGTAGCGGCGCAACGTCGATCGCGATCGACGAAACGGCGTCGATCGCGAAGATCCGCGGCAACCAATACATTCCGACAATCGCCCGTCACTTTAATCGACACTCCCGACGGAAACTTACGCTCGATACGCACTATTAACCGATAAAATATGCGAAAAACCGCGGAGCTATTTCTGCGCCGCTTGCCGAACCGGACGTGTCGCCAAAGTGTCATGGCGGCCCGAGAGGGCGCGAAATAATTTCGAATATTGAGACAACTTGAGACAAATGCGATCTTTGAAAGTCGCGATTGGAAGTGGGACGTTTTCTACAAGCTTTTTAACAAATCGCGACGATTAACAATGTTTTGTCCAATATTTTTCATAAAGATTTGAACGAATATATAAGAAAACACGTAAAAATTTATTAATAAAACAAAAAGCTAAATACTTTTATTATTATATTATACATATATATACGTTTTATCCGACATAACGCTAATACGAATAGATTAGGAATTAATGAGCGAATTTACGGAATAACGTAATACATTTTTTTTATTCATGTACAACAATTTGATGCATACATTGTCGTAATGCTTCAAATCTTTCTCTAAAAAGAAAAAACTATGTATATATTTTATTGTCTGATCAATTTTTAGATTTATATTATTAGCTCGGTATTACCCGTCTCATTTGTTTAAAGTTCCCTTCTCTTCTACATCAAAGAATTTATGCCTAATTTATAAAATGAATTATCCTAATTCCTAATTCTTTTTTGTTGATGTTATCACCATAAGAATTAGATACCTTCTTTAAATATATTTGTGATGATGTCTTAAAATTTATACATATCCCTTTTGTATCAAATTTGTCAAGAAAAAAAAATAATAAATTGGAATAAAGAAACACAATTTTGAAAAAATTGTTATATTAGACAGAATAATAACAGAGGTGCTTTTCACAAGTTTTTAGTGGCACAAGTCGACACAAGTTGTTCTATCTTTCTTGGCATCAATGAATAAAAGACAGAACGACACTATGTCGAATTGTATCATCAGTTAATAGAAAGCACACCCAACATTGGTAGAAATATTAAAAATATATTTAGGTTATGTGTACAATTCACTCTGCATCCATTCGATACTAAGGATGCGATCCACTTAAACACTACAAATGCTTCGAAGCATTCTTCTTTTCTTTTCTTTCACTGAAGAAAGAACAAGACAAAGAACGTTTCGAAGATTTGTAGCATCAAACGGACTGCAGCCTAAGAGTACAGAAATAATATTTTTTTTCTATCCAAGGTATTCATACGCGGCCGTGAACTCTGAAGACCCATGACTGTTTCCCCAGTTAAAGAAAATCAATATGCATTACGAGCGCAGCTTCATTTGTGTGAAAACAAAGGCTATTCTTAATATACCAAGATGTAATATCATCATGACGTCAGAATCGTCATGGCAACTCCCTTTATTGGTGCACCCACGCTGTATGTGTACGTGTTATCTCATCAAATTTAATCCATCAAAGCACAAAGATTCATCCGATTACATTAGAGAATTAGCTCCTATTAGCATTTCGTATTTACATCAATCATTTCAAGAAAGAAATACACGCACGTACATATAAAACGAAACGGACATTACAGAAGTAAAAATGTCTTTTATTTCACATGAAATATTGTATATACATGTAGGCAGATAAATGATCTTTGTCTTCCTAAGTTAGGATTTCATAGAAACGTGTAAAATTACCATGTACGGGAACTGCATTTATCTCTTTATACATTTATAGTTTTTACGTGCAAAATTAAGAAAAAATTAAATTATACGTAACCTTTTAAGTTAACAATTACTCTTAATAAAAATTAAACGTCACTACAATATTTTCTTATAAGTAGTCTGTTGTTTGAGCACCTGTCAATATATCACGAATCAAATGTCAAGGCGAAGAACTTTGCCTTGACACAAAAAAATAAAAGTATAAAATAAAAAAATGTCTATGTGCTCTCCTTTGCTCTTCTTATACTTAATTTAAGTAAACATATAGACTAAAAAAAAACTACTTAACGTATATTTAAGTTTTTATAGAATTAGCTTGTGTAGTTATGGCACCAAGTATTGACCATATGCTTTCAAACTCGTTTATAAATGGCTTAACTATTGCTGACTCATTAGTCACTAGCACGTTCTCAAAATTTCCAAAAAATGCTGATTTAGTCCAGTTTATACTGCCTGATATCAAGATCTTATTGTCAATAATAACAAATTTATGGTGCATCAAGGTATCTAACTGTTTTGATCTTAGTTGAATGCCTGCAAAATAAAGCAATATTATGTCAATTACAAAGTTGCTGCGTTATCTATGTAATAGGAATTCCAGATTATAAAATGTCTACTAAATTCTTCATATAACAATGTTTGTTTCAAAATAGTCACAAACCTTCTTTGTAAAAGATCTTTAATTTGCTTGTATCATTTGTTGCCATGGACTCATCCAATATCATCCTTATAACAACATTTCTTTTTTTGGCTCTTATAACTGCCTCTGCTAAATCTGAGAACGTAAAGAAATATACGCATATGTCCAAAGTATCGGTCGCAGAATCCAAATAATCTACAATCCGCCTGCAAATATGTAAGATATATTCTATACAGTTGCATTAAGCTATGAGGAAAATAAATAAATAATTTTATATTGCTTTACTTTATACCGCATTGGAGAGGTTACCTCAAGTGTCTTACTGCACAATTCAGCCTCCCACATGGTTTCATAAGTCCCAAATGTGTTCGACATAAAGTGGAGTCTTTCGAAAAGAACATGACTTCGAAGATTTTTGCCTCTGTATTTGTGCAAAGCTGTGTCGCGCAGCCATTGACAGTGTTAATCGTTTTCCTTCGAGAACATTTATACACCTTGTACAACTGCCACATTACTTCCGTCACCAGGGCACCAGAAGTTATTACAATGGCAACACTTCTCATCATTTTGGAATCTGAGCTAAGCAACTTGGAAATCTCTGAAGATCTCTGAAAAAAAACAACATCAATCCTTGAGTCAACTTGAAGATGCAGAATCTCTTGTGTTCGAGAAAGAGGATTCAGCTCTCTCTCAGTTCACTGATTTAATAAAATAATACATCACGTACAAATGTATAAATCCCAGCTGATTGAATATATATTAGATCTCAGAGAAGACCTCGTGCGCCTTCTCGACCAATACTGGACTGTGGACTGTGGCAGGTGGCTAACGCAAATCAAATTAATACAAATGATAATCACAGAATTACTCAATGATGCCACTTACAAATTACATTGAATATACTTATAAAACGTGAAAGGAAAACCGATATGGAAGAGCAACTACAAGCTAAACAATTTGATATTTATATTCTCTAATTAATTCCGATTATAACCTAAAAACCTGATGAAGTCAGAAGAAGAAACGAATCTAGTGGTCCAATGGTTGACGGCACGTTAAATATCCCAAAGTTTTTTAGGAAGAAATGACCAAGTACGAGATTGTTTATGTGCCAAACTGAGTGGACGAGAGTCGAGACTGACGAGAGAGGATTCGATTGGCAGTGCCATCTTGGTTATTCCATTTCGAGTATCGGGGAACGCGATGATTCGCGCTCGCACGGCGGTCGCATCACGTCATTCGATACATCGATCGTCGCGTTGCGAGCTTTCTTTCGCTCGCCAAGCTCCCGTAAAATTCTTTGATACATAATATACGAAGCCTCCAAAACCACGTCCTCCCGAGGACGATGAATCCATAATCTAATTCGAGTCTCGTCGCCGGCGAGCGTTCTCTCGAATCAAGTCAATCAAGTCGCGCTTCGATAGGTATCGATAGGTCCCTGGCAGATCCGGGGCATTCCGGGGGGCAAAGATGTCCGTTGGTGCGGCGGAGCGGATTATCGTCAGTCGTTCGGCCGGACGTGTTTGTGAGTAAATATCAGCTGGATGCGCAGCGCGATTCCGCGACGACGTGGCGACGTGCGAGCGCGACGACAGTAGGGACGATCTACGACGGCTGGTGGGCGCGAGAGAGAGCCGCGACGATGGGCCTCTTCCCGACCTCCTCGCCCTTCGACGCTGACGTCGGTGAGTAATACCCTCGTTTCCTCGCGGTCGGCCTGGCCTGGCGACACGCTCGCCGCGGCCTAGCGCCGCCTCCCGCCTCCCGCCTCTCGCCGCGCGCGAGGGCCCGCGACCGCTCGCTCGTCCGCGGGCCCTCGCCCGAGGAACGGCTCTCCTTTTCCACGTCGGACGCATTAAGCGGTTGTTGACACTTGACCTCCGACCGCATCGTCCGATTCTATCGCGCTGATTCCTCCGCCCCCCAAATCCGACCGATTTTCCGCGCGGAAAAAAACGGGGCGGCGGCGATTCCGTCGGTGCCAGCGATGACAGCTCGCCGCTTGATATCTCTCTTGCGTGTCGCAACGCAATTGCAGAGAGCGTCTGTTCCTTTGTTGAAGTTTTTATCTATACGATGCCTGCGAATTTTATTGTTGTATCTGCCTGAGTTATCTTAATCTTTGTATTTTTATTAAAAAAAAAAACTTTTTATTACTATTTGATTATGCATGTCATTGAGAATCCTGTGATGAATCACTCTTTAAATCGTTATTTAATTGCGTTGCATCAGAAAAGGCAACTAACGAGAACAATGTAACGGAAGAATGGGGAAAGATAATGGACATCTGCGACAAAGTGGGCACCTCCAGTCAGAACGCCAAGGACTGTTTGCGTTCTATCAATAAGAGATTGTACCATCAGGACCCTCATGTGGTCATGCAAGCTATAACGGTTAGTACCATTGTCCTTTAACAGTAAAAATGCCTTAACCTGTTCCACCAAATTTTTGATTACTTATCTTTGATTTAGTTGTTGGACGCTTGCGCCAGTAATTGCGGAAAGGTTTTCCACTTGGAAATTGCGTCCAGAGATTTTGAAAATGATTTGCGAAAGCTTATTAACCATCCGCAACCGAAAATAGTGGATAAAATCAAAGCGCTTTTGAAAAAATGGGTGGAAGGTGATTTTAAAGCAGATCCGCAATTGAATCTGATTCCAAGCTTGTACAATAAGCTCAGAAGTGAAGGCCATGACTTTTCTTCTGTCTCGGATACGGTGAGTCTTTATCCTTTGTGTTATTATCGCACCTTCTTCGTTAACTGTAGAAATATAAATGGTTCATAGCTATTGCGAAGTCGAGTGTTGAACCACTACTCCAGATTGCATTATTTAAATCAGTCAGATAAGATTATCACTTATTGACACTATGTCTCTCTTCTGAACTTATATTGTATCGTATGGTTACTTTATAAACTATTAAATACATTTTGAATGAATCAACTTATTGGGCATGTGATATTATTAATTCAATTCAATTTTTAAACTATTTCTTACGTGTATAAAATGCAATGTTTTTTAGCCAAAACGTGCTATGACTCTGAGCAGAGATCCTAATGTAGTAACAAATTCGCAAGAAGAATCAGATATTGCAAAAGGTAACAATTTGATATTATTTCCATTATACATTTAATAATGTTTCAAGTTTATTTTTATATTATTATTATATAGTTATTATATAGACAATTTTTTACAGCCATACAACTTTCTTTGCAAGAAAATAAGACACATACTCAAAGCACTTCATCGCATAGTTCGCCAGCCTCTAAGAAAAGTACTAGTTTATATCCTAGTATGAATTCTGTGCTTGGAGCCTCGAGCACCTCCCAAGAAGGCAGAAAAGTACGTGCTCTGTATGATTTTGAAGCTGCAGAGGATAATGAACTAACATTCTTAGCAGGAGAAATAAGTATGTGTATAAAAATTATTATAGTACAAAATCGCAAACAACACACAAGATGATAGATATTAGAAATGAATTTCTAATTGTGAATTTGATTTTTTAGTTAACATTTTGGACGATTCTCATCCAAATTGGTGGAAGGGCAGCAATCAAAGAGGCGAAGGCCTCTTTCCCTCCAATTTTGTTACTGCTGATTTGTCTGTTGAACCAGAAGAGTTTACAAGTAAGATATACGCGACTTAATTAATTTTTCGATGTTTAAACGTCCTTGAATTATTTATTATGTGTGATCGTGATTGAATTAATATGAATGTATTTATGTACAGAATTGGAACATAGTAACAAGAAATTAGTGCAATTTGCGGAAGAAGTGGAAGTAAAAATGGTGAAACGTGAACCCGAAGTGGTGGAAGTTGAAATAGATGAAAAGAAAATGGATAGATTATTACATCTGCTTCATGAAGCTGATCCACAATGTGATACCTCCGATCCTCAGGAAATGCTTGATTTAGAAGGTAACTATGAATAAATTCATGATAAAAACAATTACAAAAAAAATGTTACAAATATTCATCATTTCCATCTATTGCATTTTGCAGACCAAGTTACGGCAATGGGGCCCTTGATTGATGCGGCTTTGGAAAAAGTAGATAGGCGGCATGCGCAGCTTACCCAATTAAGTTCCGATTTGGTCGACGCTCTTAATTTGTACCATACCTTGATGAGAGAACCTCCAACGCCGACTGGCTACACTTTGCCTAAAATGCAGCCACATATAAGTCCTTATCCATTCCACAATCCACCACCAACGCACGTAAGTGCCTCGACAGACTTTAAGTAACGATTCTTACAATAGCGCGAGATATTCTGACATTGCTACATCCTTCAACAGATGTTTAATGGTATGCCGCCTTCTCCGTTCCCCACTGGAGCCGCCTCAGGTCCGGTGGGGCCGTATAACACGAATTTGCCGAGCAACGAGTACATGGGTCCTACCAGTATGCCAAACATTACTTTACCCCAGCATTTTCATGTTCAATCAGGACCTCACCAACATCCGCCTGGACATCCACAAGGGTCATCTTTGCCGCCGCCTGATCAAAACCTTTCTTATCAACCACAGGGGTATGTTTAATTTATTTTTATTGTAACACTAATCTCAAAATTTGCTATAATTAGAGTAACTGTAAATAAAAAATATTTCCATGTTTTGGAACATTTCTCACACATAAATTACAATACACATACAAGCGTGTGCATACACATTTTTCGTGTATTATGTAACAATATTATTGCTTAATTGCATTATGTTTCATTTAATTTTTTCTTTTTTTTTTAATGTTAGAGAAATGATAATGTAATATATTATATAGCAGATACCCACCTCAAAGCGGCCCTGCACCCGGGCCATATGGTCCGCCTGGACCTGCAGGACCATCTGTAAATCAGCAATCGCAATATGCTCCACCGAATGGGCAACACATGATGTAAAGCAAAGCTAATGCGTTACGACTCATCTTGTACTCTAATTCAAGTTGTACAATATTACACTATATTATAATTATTTAAATAAACATACCCAAAGTAGCCAAAGATAATGGGTTTTTAATAAAAATTTTATGTTCGGATCTAAAATCTATTGTTTTAAGTATACATCCGATTAAGAAAAGCAAAGCAGAAAGTGACTTATGTTGTCTACAACACATTTAGTTTTGTAATTCTTAGGTATTTATTGACTCAGACTGTTCAGTTTAAATTTATACATTCCTTCAAACTAGTTTGATTTCTGTTATCTGATTATTGTTTGAATCATATTATTAAAAAAAGGTATTTTATTAAATATCTCTCTCAATGTATCTGTAAAAATATTTTAAATCCCACATTTCTACACATGACTTTATTTTAAACAATACTTTTCTTATTATAGTTTTATGTATATAAATATAAAAAAAAAGATTAATTCTTCGTGCTTTGTTTTACATCTAAGTTGTAAGCATTGTCACATATGTCATAAATTGTAAATTTCGCATTTTTAAAATATATATATTTTGAATAATGTCTCAGCAATGTGTCGGAAAAATACATGAAATAGGAGATTTTGGAATTTGTGTATGAAAAGAAAGGCTCAAGAAATATTTTATAGTTTTCTACTCTGCCATCGATCAAGTGCAAAACTGGGATTGCAGCGTGATTACTAGGAAACGAAGTGATATTATTGTTAAAGGAGTGTTACGATCATGAAATGTTGTTAAGGCTTTTTTAATTGCCAAACATCTTTTGCAAGAAATTTAAAACATTTTTTGCAAGAAATTGAAACATCTTTTGCAAGAAAATATCTCAGTATGGTCTAGTCTCTCCATTGTGTACAATAAGACTAATTTCTACTAATTGCTTAAAAAATAGTGGGACTGCGACAAATTTTTTATCGATTGTTAAATAATAAGTTATATTTGTACATATACGATGAAACGTCCTCTCTCAAATATGTGACGATAATGGTCAACGCTGTTCGGCCATTTACGATATATTCAAATTATCATTATGTTAACATGTTTTATTCTCCAATACAATGCATATCGGCATAATCATTCAAAGCATTCGGCTTTTGATGTAAAAAATAATAAAAGAAGAAAAAAGTACATAAGAAGTACACAACGGTACTGCGGGCGAAAATCATGCCTTAACTCTAGATGGAAACATAATTTAGGGCATAATTTTAGGGGCAGAACGTACTAATGTTTTTGTAGCAACAATATTGTGTACATCGTACATTTAAGCGAATAAAGACGGGAATGAGACAGAAATTAAAA